TTCAAAGAAACCAACAGATTAAACAAATGAAATCCCCATATTCCCCATATATCCATTGTAATTTGATTTGCATAATTTGTTTTAATTTGTAAGGGGAAAAGGTCAAACTGATTAACCTTTTGTTACCAATGAAATCCCCATATTCCCCATATATCCATTGTAATCTGATTTGCATAATTTGTTTTAATTTGTATGCGGAAAAGGTCAAACTGACTAACCTTTTGTTACATCTCCAGTACACATTGAGTCACCCCTCTGAGGGTCGGGCTACGCCTATAACTGTTAAACAGTTCAATGTGACAGAAGCTCTTTTCTCTCTCCTTTTTTCCACAGAAGCAGTCAGTGTCGAGACCCCAGTTGAAAAGCCAGGAGTCGATCAGTGCACAAGTCTCATAAAACAAAGCCTCAGGACGGGTGACACCTGCCAGACTCCCCTGTGGCCCAGACGGTGATCACCCAGGTCCTTGGGGGTCTCTAGTTCCAGTCTGAGAGCGGGGGTGGGTGGGGGGACACGCGCTGTGAGAAACAACACATGTGATTAGGTAGCAGGGAGGAACTTTCTCAACACACACGCACACTGGATAGACACACACAAATTGGAAATATACAATCGAACCTACTCTAACGACCACTTGCATAAGACAATCACTTGTACAGTAACTTCCCATTACACCCTCTTGAATTAAAAAAGTAAATTTTACATTATATTTATGACACTGAAAGATATCCACCCATCTAGGACGACCAGTTTTCTCCTTGACGATAGGTGGCCGTCTAAAACGATACCGACTGTACTCACACAAACACTGGGTGTACTCACACAAACACTGGGTGTACTCACACAAACACTGGGCGTACTCACACAAACACTGGGCGTACTCACAGTAACTTACACAAACACTGGGTGTACTCACACAAACTGAAACACTGGGTGTACTCACACAAACACTGGGTACACCTACACACTACTACATGAAACAAGAGTTTGATGTGAGAAAGGAGAAGATAATGAAGGCTCATTAATTAAGGCTTGATAACGGTAATTTATTGCTGAGGGGAAAAAAGCAAGATAGACAAAGGGACAAAAATCCGACACAAAAAAAAAAGACCTTCACTATTACATTAGCTGTGTCCTCTAACCACCCGCAACGACAATGCGGAGGGCAAACAGGAAGCTGAGATTGTTTCAGAATGCTATCAGGTCTGCTGGGTAAATAACATGATTGTAAAGTGCATAGAGCTTACTGTTGAGAGGGAATTACTGTAATACTAAAGCTATTTATCATTGTTATACAAGAAGCAAACCTAAAACCAACCCATATAACTAAATCTTCACGGATAGGGTTATTGAAAAGACCCTGGAACAAGCAGGAAGTTAATTATGTGTATTGTTTTCGGTGGGTCCCAACACAATAGAAAAACGGAAAAGAAGTAGAAAAAGGAGTAAGCTATATCAGAACAGCAAGTAACTGCCTGCTCCCAAGCAGGGGACTTAGTTTTGGATAAAGATAAGCCATTTAGAGATGGGGGACTGGATCGATAACAACAACAGAGATGGGGGAAAATGCAGGATGGACATTGACATAGACAGCAGAGGGAAGGAAAAGAAATACAATTTATTACCGGTGGCAACCCTCCCCAACATCTGTCTGCAGAAGGGGGAAATTTCTCAAATGTTGAAAACGAAACAAAAATCTATAGGAACATGCAAGCATAGAGTAATGTTTCTTCTTTGAATTCCAGTTTTATTTGTTCCTCACACCAGTCTTATTATACCTGTATCCTTCCTCTGTCAAAGGCAGGGTAAAGCTATTGTAAGTAACTGATCTCAATAACAAGCATCAAAGCGGTTTTTTTGTTTTTCTCCTCAATTTTTAGTTTTAGTTTCAGTAAAGAAAAGCATATCTATCAACACAAAAAAACAGTACAAGGATAATTTTTTGCAGGGAAAATGCAATATGGAAACAAAAGACAGAAAGAAACCTTGGAGGACCTATCAGTTACACCCTCCAATCACCTGTAGTCTATATACAAGAACATAAGATGTCCTCAGTGATATCGCTTGACTGTGCATCTTAATGCAAGTGTCTGTGGTGAAATGTGAAAAGGCTCCTACCAGTGCACTAACAAGAGCTGTGTCCGAATCCCAAGAGTGAAAATCATTTTACTGAACATTTCCATCTGTCTGTTAATGCTGCATCCCAGATTGGCCTCCCCCCTCCCAAGAGATTAAAATTGTGTGAATGGGGTGTAAAACATTTACTTTTATTCCCTTGAACTGTTCGCAACTATACTATGACAAACGTCTGCTTGCTTGAACGCTTCACAAATAAATACAACCATGCTCAAATTTATATTTCAGATTGAAATGTTCAAGAGACATACCTGACTGTAGCTACTGCCGAGTTCCTGAAGGATATGGAGGTGGGGCACAGAGGAGACAGAGCGAGAGAGGAAGAAATATGGCCCCTACCTTTTCCCTGAGACCATAATTTGTGCCCGAGACGCCCAGGTTGTGGTCTTAGGAACGAGGAAGTGCGGCTGATAACGTCAATGTCTGAACTCTCAGGACTCAGCAGCGTGGACCAAGAATGCTCTCCTTTCACTCGTTTCTGACACTTGTGTGTTGCTTTACTGGACCAGGCTGAGTGTTCACAAACGATCTTCCTCATTACAGGTAGCAGGGTCTGTGCCTGTATGAGAAAATTTTAACTTTTAACATTAAAGAGACTCTCCAAAATATGAACCATAGGTGAGAACAATACACAAAGATACTTAAGTTTGTTAGGACCTGAAATTCACATAAAGACAATCTGAGAGACACGGTTTAGAGAATAATGAATACAATTTAAGACCTGTAGATAAAGAAAAGCAGGAAATTTAAAATAAACTCAATAGTATGAACAGATGAATGAATTAGGAAAATCAGATGTAAAGTCATAAAAACAACAATTTTACAACAAGTGAAAACTTGAAATTAGTATAGAAAATCAGTGGAACACTATAGAAAATGACAAATAGGATATAGGATCCAAGACTTGTCAGACTTAGAGGGATATTATTACTCCTACAAGTCTAGGAAACCAGATGCATAGGTCTGTTAGTACAGTAGAACCCACTCCAACAGCTACCTGTACATTATATAAGACAATCACCTGTACAAATGGCCACTTCCCATTTCCTCCCTTGCCCGTTTCTTTTTTTTTTACACATTATAATGTCATTGTGTAAAATATACACCTGTCTCAAAACAAACTGTTTTTCTAGTCTTAGACAATCAGTGGCCATCTCTTAGTAGTCTTAGACAATCAGTGGCCATCTCTTAGACAATTACAAGCAAAACTGGTCAATAACCGTTTTAGGATAGCTATTCTTGTTCCAGAGAACAGTATTGAATCACTTTGCAAAGAAGTAGAGCCATGAAAGAAACAGCTGCCATAATTTTGTTATTCAGAAATCTCCCCACTATTCTCAGAGTAATTTAGACGTACACAAATATACAGTGGGGTCTGCTTAAATCAAAATGTTTAATCCTAAAACAGCAGTTAACCGAAAGAAAACAGAACCCCTAATTTTTTATGTTTTTTTGTTGCTTGAGCAATCTCATATTAAACCGAAAACTTGGCTAAATTAAAGAAAATCCAGCAGTCCTGCAGATTTCAGTTCAAATGGACTCCACTATACACTGATCTTAAAAACATGTACAGAGTTCAAATGGGTGTTAGAAAATGCAACAAACAATATATAACAGTAAAATTTTAGTCAAAAGTTTTAAAATTTATCAATGTACATTACTCTTTGCTTCTATGAAATATAAATAATCAATCCTTTTAAACAGGATTTCCGTAAGAAATTCATTTAATACGCATACAGCACATCAAGCTTTTTATTGAGCAAGAATTTGCCCAATGTAATGCTACTAAGACCACCTTTCAAAAATATTTCAAAGAGCAAACCTTTTGTTTGTTTTGTTTTTGTAAAGTGTTTTACGGCGCGCGCAACTGCATGAGGTCATAAGAGCGCGCGGGACACACCTAATATTTTCAGTTGGTAGGAAATTTTGAATTTTGCGCGGGTGGCGGCCGAAGCCTACTCTGATCGATTTTAGACCACCAAGGGATCTTTAACGTGCGCAACTTGCACACAGGCCCTCCGAGATTTTTCACCCTTGTCCGAGAAGGCTAGGTGTAGATCTTTCATACCAGAAGATCAGGGGTGTGGCAGAAAGACAGCAGTAAGAAGGAGCCAAGGAGTAGCAGTAGAAAGGCTGCAGAAAGAGTCAGGAGCCCAGAGGAGGGGGCAAAGGAGGTGAGGGGGTGGGGGCAGAAAGTGGAAATGAAAGCAGACAACAGAACATTGCTAGAGAGCAGGAAAGGAGGTGAAAGGAGACAATTTAGAGAAGAAAATTTTTCGGTCACTACCCGGATTCAAACCCGGGATCTTTGAATGAGAGGCAAACACCTTAACCTCTAGGCCACGAGATCCCCAGCAAAACCTTGAAACAAAAAACAATAACCTTAGCTGAAAAGCAGATAGCCTGTTCATAAGATTGTCTGTATTGGTGTGGTACTGAGTTTTATGCAGTGATGAATATTAGTACATGTGTATAGTTTGCATTATAATTACCACTGTGTAACCCAAATTTCCCTTACCGGACCAATAAAAGTTATATCCTACTCATTTTTTTTATTGTACTTATTTATATTCACAAATAATAAAAGTGATACCAATCTTCTATTGTATTCATTTAATTACCGTAAGGTGTATATTTACTTATAACCCATAAGGTATGTTTGAAATCTGGAAAAAGAATTATGCAAGGCAGAGATTTTCTGATTTTCACAAAAAAAAAAATAATTTCGTAAAGCAACCACACAGCATTTATACTTACAAGTTCAAGAAAAGAACCACACTTTGAAAATTGCTGTATTACAACTGGTTGCCACGGTAACCAAGTGTAAATGTTCATAATCTTGAATTTTCTTTGTCAGTAATTTAAAAAAGCCTTGAGCTCCATTAGTTTTAGGCAGAAAAGATTCCCCTCTGTCTTTAACAGCACCACAACAAACAAATGCGGCTCTTTAAGACATAACAATTTTTGAATTTGTGAAAATATGAACAATAATAAACCCTAAATTAAAAATTGGACCATTTCAAATAAAAATAAGTACAGCCAACATGTAAGGGAAATTTTAAAACGGGCCACTTTGTTTTGTTTAGACACATAACAGCTAAAGTGTGTGAAAAGATTAACACTGTAGCTTCAAATCAAAGGAAGCCTTAGTCATTCAAAGTCAAAAACTCGAAATGAAAAAACTAAGATTAACATAGCCAAACTGGCTTGAAGTAGAAAGTGGGTCACCATGCTCTTTTACTGCAGTTTTCGGTCACTTGGGGAGTATTTATAGGTACATAATAACTTGCATTTTAAAGATAAATTGCAATAGCAACAGAATTTGCCATAAACTGGAAATGGTCACAGTACTCGATTTTCGACCTAATTCCCAGCCGAAGACAGCCTTAACGGATATAAAAATTAAAAATAAACAGTTGAACCGGCCATGACCACCGCCTGTGTAATGCGGCCACCTGAACAAACGACTTCTTTCCCCCCCCCACCCTTGCGTTTTAGAAATATAATTTCAATGTGTAAAACAGTCACCATTCCAACAAGGCCACCACATTTCATCATTTACACCCACTTGTTTGGAAGTCCGCAAAACAGCAAAGTTTATTTCTTATGTGTAAGAAAAAAACGTCTTTGAAAAAAAACAACATAATCAAAACTTCATAAACAGAGACAAAAAGAGAAAAGCCTAAGAAGAACTTTGTCTGCAGGAGCATTCAATAATAAGAACAATATGTTTCATTTTACTCCCTCTCCTTTTAAATCACGTGTTAAGTAATGCTATTCTCCAAACATCTCTTTGTGTATTAATGAGACGCACTGAATAATTTCTTCTGCTTCTGTGACTTGACACGACACAAATTTTCTCTGTAAAAATGTGGACCTTTCAATTCATATCAAGAAACCTTATCACAAAAAACTGTCAATGAGCAGCCATCTTCAAACCTGACCGTGACCCCATACGCCAGTCGACACACCAGTTCACACATCAGCTGTTACCCACTAGCTTGCCGTTTACTTCTCACTTTAGAAAAGCAGCTTAGAGTACAGCCACCCCCAAGTTCATCATTCATCGCTTGCTTCACACTATAGCTTGTTCACTTTCATCTGACCGCGTTAAAAAAAATTGTAACTCATTTACTAATTTAATCTATGCCCATGAAACTTTGCATGGCACTTCTGCAGGGTAGCGATCAAACAAAATTTTTTTTTTAAATCCTGATCCGCTAATAAATCAGTATTTTCTCTTTGGGCCTTTTATTAAAAACTTTTCTTTGGATGCATACAAAGGATTGCTGAAATAAATGACTTACAATAACCTTGCCTGCAAAACTGCAAAGTTCATGTACTCATTTAAAGAGGGCGACACCATCCTGCCCCCTCATTTCAGAGTAAGTTTGTAGATTTCATTTTTCTACTGTCTAGACGTATCTGATCTAGGTGCTCCACGTGAGTCTAAAAAATTACTAACCCCTCTTTAGAATCGTATTTCTTAGGCGTACATTAGAGTGTGATGATGAAAATGTGTCAACTTTCTTATTTTTTAAAGTATATACTGTAAATCCCCTATTATCTTTTTGACTCGCTTTAGCCCTACATTAAAAAAAAAAAACATGTCGGAACCTTAGTTTACATTGACCTTTATAAATCGGCTCTTAGATACTGTTGGTCATCCAACTTTTAGACCCCTATGCAAAGATCTGAGAAGATTAAACACAACAATTTCATTTGATATTATTTTAACCCCCGGCAGACAAAAGTGAACCAGCTGTAGCTACAACTATTTACTTGTAATGTGAATGCACCTAAAGTGCTGAAGAACAGAGGTGTTACTAGAGACTAGAGAGTAATTTGCAAAGGAAAGAGAAAGGAAAGAATAAGGAAGATAAATGTTTGATACAAAATAAAAAGTAAACTACACCAGAATACCCACTAACCACCCATGAGAAAGACGGAGAGAAACAAGGGGGAAGGAAAAGAAGTAAACCCTACCAGTGGCGCCCTCCAACCACCGTGAGTTACAAGATGCAAATGGACACAAAAACAGACAATCATCTAGTGCAGGAAAAAATTTATTTTTTTTATAGTAGAGGGTTTTACGGCACTCGCAACTGCATAAGGTCATATGAGTGCCAAGGAGTGGGTGTCAACAGAGAAGTCTTTACAGGGAATCAGACTTAGACTGCTCACCTCTCTAGCTTCAACAGCACAAGGTCTGCTTCAACTATCAAGGCACCCCAAAATAGCAGGTCACAAGAGAGTGACAAACATACAAAAGAAGTAGAGGAAAATGACAATAGTAAGGATCAGGAAAGAAAAAGGAGCAGTTCCCTGTTGTAGATCAGGCACAGTTATGAGCATGACATGAACCAGCCCATTTACAATTCTACTATGCTTGAACGAGAAAAGTCCCCCCTTTGGGAATGGCCTAAAGACACTACAGTCAGTTGCACTGCCCCGGGGGGAATGCAGGAAAAAAGTAAGAGATAAAAACAACAGTAAGGACCAACCAGTGGCACCCTCCAACCACAAACTGTGAAAGTAAGACCAACAGACAAACACAGC